CTCTTTGTACGCTTTGCGCTGCTGTCCTTCATTTTTCCCCAAAAACTTTCAAAATGTTTGCCTTGCATCTGCTTTTCATATTCTGTTGATTGTCGACTGGAATTTGAAAAACAATGCACGCAAAAAAAAAACAGAAAGCAACCATCACAGACGGCGCAATTATCTTCAGTCGCCTTGTCGGGAAGGAATCCACTTACTGTCTTATATCATGTCAGGTCTTGAATCCCTACAAACACTGAAGTGAAAGAAGCAAAAGTTGTGGTTTCTATGGTGAGTTGTGTCTTGGATTATTTATCGGCAGGGACTTCAGGAACACCGTTGCTTGGCGACTTTTCTGACACTATAAGTGCCTAGTGACAAATTTAGCAAACTCGTCACACCACTGGGGAAAACATCTATATATATCAAATACTGTACATAGAAGTACAATACATTCATATTTTACAAACAGAAAAATGATAATTTGGAAAATAAAAGAGAAATAATGATATATTCAACCAAAGCATTCAATGTCAAATTTATTTAATTCTTCACAGTATTGATATTGATGACTCATATCAATTATAAGTCATCAATATACATGTTTAAGAAATACCTCTTAAATACACAAATAGCTGCCATTACATTTAATTACATTTTGTAGACAATGTCATAAATATACATGCATAACAGTACATTCCTTTACTAAATAATAAGCTGGTTGATTATACACTGTTGATTTGCTAAATAGTGAGTATGCAGCTAAATGGAGGGCTGCTTTGCTTCCTGGCTTCCTGCGTGTAAACGTGATTAAAAAGGTAAGCGATCTGTGCCCAATCATTGTAAATGCGTGTGGATGGGATCATGACCCAGTGTAAACACCAGCAGCAGAGTAACATGTTTCCGTGAGCTCAGACGTTGACGGTTATCTGGTCCAGATCACATTTCCAGGCAAACAAATCCATAGTAGTTGATTTAATAATTTACAATCTATCTTCCTTTCTCTGCTACCTGATTTCTGTCTCTGCACAAAAGGTGCACTATTGTTGATAAAGGGTCCAGCTCCAAGCGATTTGTTGAGCGTCAACATTCTCCATTGGGCTGCAGTCTGTAATGAGTTGTTTTGATGTTTTTTTTTATTTATTGTTGCTGAATACTGTGACATAAACCACCCAGGAAAGGCAGTTATTGCTGAGAGTGTGTTGTGTAAATAGCTGCAAAAACTGTGGGGCAGCATCGTTCTCACCACATCTGTTGGAACATCAGCTCATGCAAGCCAGTGTAAAAACACTTGAAGGTGAAACACGAGAGAGAGAGAGCACTTGATGGTCGAGCCGGTGACAGATGTACATCTCCACACTGTGTGATCAGTCTCCAGTGGGTTTAAAACACAACTTAAGACACCACTCATGTTACAAACATTACTGTACAAGAAGCAGGTGGGATCCTTAAGTTTGAGTTCGCAAAAAGAAAAAAAAAATGGTATTGAGGGAAAACACCAGCGTCCATTTAGACTGGCCAAAAGATCGGCTGTGAGGAATCAACACAGAAATCACCGCGTGTGCCGGACAGATGGGCAGCTGCAGCGCTCGGACATCACGGGTCGACATGTTTTAACTATGTTGAGTGAAGACTGACTTTGAAGACTGAAAAAACGAAAAATCTTTAACCTGTGTGTGTGTGTGTGTGTGTGTGTGTGTGTGTGTGTGTGTGTGTGTGTGTGTGTGTGTGTGTGTGTGTGTGTGTGTGTGTAGTGAGTTTAAGCTACACGTTCCCATTGTCTCATTACAAAGAGGCTTGTTGCCCGTCATCCACCATTAGCACAGGACAATTTAGAGTCTAGAATTAAGGATCATCAGGACATGAGCTTTTATTTCAGAGGGGATTTTTTGTGATTAAACTCTTCTTAATAGTCCTCCAAGAGTAGATGTCGCCCAGGGAAGGTCAATATGTCAGAATAATACACCATAAGTTAACGTGCAGTTACTCAAAGTGCTGTGGACACAAACAAGTAGCCTTACCCGAACCACAGCGCCGGAGATTCTCCTCATGAAAAGGTCATTCTCCGGGTGCGTTTTGACATTCTACACGTTTCACGTTGTCTCCCGTCTTTGCACGAGCTCAGCGCGCAAAAGCCCCCACGCATCTCCGCAGATCTGCGGCGCTGCGTTTAGCCTCTGGATCTCTCCAGTCTCCCTCCCATGACCATGATCCCCGCGTCCACGCGCGGCCGCCGAGCTCGCCAAGAGGCCGCGGCGCTGTCAGCTCCGATCCGCCTCTGTCCGGGATGCCGCTCGCTCATTACGCGGGGGGGGGGGAGGCGCGCTGGGTTCCGGGACGGGCTTTCCTACCACATCATAAATCCACATTAGAGGAGCGGAGGCATCTCATGTGGGGGGGGGGCTCCGGCTGGTAGGACGGCGGGGTCTCTTGGCTGTGATTTTTGGTCTACACGGCGCGCCCCAATAGAACAGCCGCTTACGCACGCGATCCTTTGGGTCCTGCGGCCGCGGGCGACGTGCCAGGTGTTTGTGGAGCAGCCGACCGCTGCTGGGCGGTGAATGTAATTATGGCCACTCTGATCTGCAACCCGATAACCTGCCAGTCTGTCTCTCAACGTCGGGAAAGTCAACTGGCATATTAAACGCGGTTGTGAGGGAGGACGGGGGATGGTGCGCGCGCATGGGACAGGGCTCGACTGGTGATCAGGTTTTTGAGGGCCAGTATCTTCTTCCACAGCAGGTGGCTTTTAAATGACATTACTTCATCTGAATAGAGCTTCCCAACGCTGTGTTTAGTGGCGACTGTCCTGAAGACGGTGCATGGAGGGAGGCAGGGAACCAAGGTCTGTGTACGGTTAAGACCACAGATTACATGAAAAGATTGCGAGAACATAATTGGCTGCAGGCTTGCTCTGCAAAATGGGCAGTGATTTGTATCTGGCTGGGGAGAAAATAAGGCTCCACAAATGGGAGTGACAGAGGGGCTTTTTTGTACCAAAATCCCTTTTAGCCAAAGTTCTTTCTTCTATGTTCCCTTACGGAGCTTCAGGGGAGGATTAGAAACGCAAGGACATTATTTTGTTCCAGAAAGGCTAATTTTGCAAGATACAGTCTAGTTCTTTCATGGGAAATAAAACTGAACTGAACAAAGCGCTTTCATACCCATTTCGTTATCAGAGCATCCAACTGAGTATAATAATACATCATTTGTACCATTGAAGTCAAATCCATCTTCCTCAAGGTGAATAACACTTATCCAACATCTGCTTTAGCGAAGGCAGAATAACACATCCGGACACAAAAGGTAACTTCCCTACGGGTGTTATCACACAATAGTCGGGCTGACACAAGCCCCCGGCGGGGCTGCAGCGTCTGCGACGAAACCCGCGTCAACCGACAAAACGAACAAACAACAGGCGGCAAACCAAAAAAGCAGAGAGGTGAGGGAGCTGCCCGGGAACCAGCGCTGCCTCTCTGGATCTCCGCTGACCCCATCAGTCAGTGGCGGGTTGTTATTTGGACGTGGAAGCCGTTTGGAGACCAGCGCTAACAAGCACAAAGGGTGTACTGAGAGAACACAGCCATCCGACCGTTCACTCACTAACTCTCCACCGTTTCACTGTAATTACACCCGATCGGCCAAGCGTGGCTTGAGGCGTGGCCGGGCAAAATCACTCCTTCATATGAATCTGCAGACTGTGTGAGGAAGGGGGGGCGCTACTCACCGACAGGTCTCTGTGGAAACATTAGGTTGTAAGCAGCCTGCACCTGGAGGTCCCTCCTGGGACAAAGCGGTAAGGGAGCCTCACTTTGGGGGATTGTGTGCGTGTGAAGTGTGACCATCCGTTTCCAAATTGAACCTGCAACAATCACAGATCCATAGTGAGGGAACAGGTGTTGATAACCAACAGCCTTTGGGCTCGGGCCGAAATCAAAACCTGCAAAAGGTTTAGGCCTGTAGCATAGCACACATTCCATACATCGGCGTTGGCGTTTCTGAGCCAACGTCTCCCAGACAAAAGACTGGGAGACCAGAAAGCGTGAAGCTGAAGGTGTGTCGACACGTCTTCGGCCCGCAGAGACAGTCGAGCGTCTGCTCTGCTCCGAGCACCACAACAGACAGACGGCGATACAGAATTCATCCTCCCCTGCCACACACACACAAACACACACACACACACGCCTCAAGTTTAAAAAAAAAGCATCATTGGAGACAATTACTGCAGCAGCTGATGGCACAAATGAATGAACTCTGGGAAATCTGTGCAAGAAGCAACGCTGTCAACAACGCGCGCCATGTTGCCGCAGGCTACCTAGGAGTCCAGTTGGAGACGTTAGGTGTGTTTTTCACACAAGTGTGCGCAAGAGGGAAATGATTACCTATCCAGGTGCACTTCACCGGGCCAAGGAAGGTCATTCCTGAGAGGAGACAAAACGAACCATCTTCATTAGCTTAGACCGCTAGACTGCAAGCATGCATGGTGCAGCCTTCAAAAGAAAAAGCAGACACACTAATTATTCATCAATACTATACATGGCGGCCAAAGTTGCTATTGACAGTTGGGTATAAACGCCGGTGGGAAGCGCTTTGTCCAAGGATGCCAGTTCCTCAACGGGGGCTACATGAAAAGCCGCTGGTCCTCATCTCCATAACACTCCCGTGTGTGTATGCGCGCCGCCACAAGACCTCAGTTTGCCTTCATTTGCATGTATCAAATGTCATGTAGCAGTTTTCCGTTTTTTATTTTGCACCTGGAGTACATTGAAAGGTTTCCATTACACGCTGGACTCGACCGAGAAGGGTTGTTGCATGTGAAACCTGCCCACAGGGCTGCGGCACACAGATGTTATTTTGGGGAATTGGCCGCAGAGCAAAGGTTTTTTTTTCTTCTTCTTTTTATCAGATTCACAGCAGGCGGCAAATTGGATGAGAGATTAAATAAAATACAGGAAGAAAAAAAGTTTTCTGCTCTCATCACCTGCAGACATCTCATTTAAATTCAGACGGAATGTCCTCTATTCAGCTTCAATTTGACTTTATTTGCAGCTGTAGCAGCTCACCGCTTAAGCTGTTGCCGTAGAGACGTTACAGTATAAAAATGACGTTCCCACACATGGTTGAACTGGAATAAGAGTTAGTGTTTGCCATTGGCTTCGTCTCAGGAGGGAGTGAAAGTCGTGGATCGCACAGCTCGCTCTTAACATTAAAAAGGCCCTTAGTCGAGACAAATACCAGCAACTCAGACGCATTTTATTTCGACGAATAACTCCACAAAAAATAAAAAGAAAAAGCAATTACATCCACCTACTAAATCCAATAACTATGCAATGTGCACTATAATCATTCCGAATATGCATACTCTATTTCACAAATTCACATAATAAAAAGAACAGAAACAAGCAGTGGAGCATTTCTCTGCATCAGAGGCAAAGTAACAAGGATGCAATGCTTCTTCTCACCTAAAAGTCAATGTTCCATAGGTTCAAGCTCCATAGGTTTATCCTAAAACAGGATACATCACTCTTTGTAACTCTCCCCAAATAATCTTTGCCGTTATCCATGCAATGTTACGTGGAGGCTACCGTCGACATCACGGCTGCCTTGTATTTGTACCGGACATGCAGCAGTTGTTGAATGGAAGCTCTGAGGGGGGTTAATTAGGAGCAATGGCAGATGCAACATCTGGATAGCATCATGGGGGGGGGTTGAAGAAAACTTTCATGCATATTTCAACAGTACAAGTCATGTCATATATGGATATAGAGATAGATATACAGTATATGCATCTATATCTATATGGATATGGATCTCACTGCGGGGTCCCAGACAGTGTCCCGTCCTCGCTCACACATCTGAATTGATGCTCAGGCTGGCCAGGCGCGGGTCGGAGTTGATCTCATACCTGTAATGGTACCCCTCCATGTGGTCCCTACAAGCGTCACGGATGTTGTAAATCCACCGCTTGATGCCCTTTCTGTTCAGGTAGAGCACCAGCAGGAATATGACGCCAATCAGCGCCAGCACCAGCCCCAGGAAAACGTACGACGTCTCCAGCACGCCCTCCATGTCGCCCGAGCACTTCAGCTGCGACCGCTCCACCCGCAGGAGCGGCCGGCGCCTCAGGGCCTTGGGGTCGGCGCAGGTCAGGTTCTGCGCGTCGACCACCTGGGTGGAGTTCTTCAGCCACAGCAGCGTGTCCTCGAAGAAGCAGTCGCAGCGCCACGGGTTCCCCGCCAGCTGGACGTGCAGGGCGGGCTTGAGGCCGAGGTCCTCCAGGGTGGCGAAGGGCAGGTCCCTCAGGCCGTTGTCCCTCAGGTCAAGGTCACGCAGCGGCGGCGCCCTCAGCGTCCCGTTCAGAACCGACAGGACCGAGCTGTTCTGCAGGCTCAGGTTGGTCAGGCTGGGGAGGCCCGTGAACATGTCGTCCGGAAGTATCACAAGGTCGTTGTTGGACAGGTCCAGGACTGCCAGCTGGAGGAGGTTTCCTCCCTGCAGGACGCTTTGGACCACGTCCATGAAGGAGTGATTGTGGAAAGACCTGCTGAGGTTCAGGAGCTGCACTTTGTTGTCCTCCGGGAAGGCTCTTTCGCTGAAAGCCTGGATCCTGTTGTTGCTCAGGTCCAGGCGCGCCAGGTTGGGCAGGTTGTCGAACACCATCGCATCCACGGACTCGATCCCGTTCCCGCCGAGATAGAGGTCCGTGAGCGACGGCAGCCGGGTCGGGAACGAGTCCGCGCTGACTCGGGAGACGCGGTTGCCCGTGACGAACAGGGACTTGGTGTCTGCCGGCAAAGAACGCGGAATCGCATCCAAGTCCTGGTTTACGCATTTCACGGTTTGCGAGAAGCACAAGCACTTGTCCGGACAGCCGTGACAGCACAGCGCGGCCGCGAGCAGCAGCGGGAGAACCGAACGCATCACGCCGCACATGTGCGTTGTCCCTCGGATTTCTCCGCACGACGGGCTCAACAGGCGCATCTCGGGTTGCACAAACGCGCGCGTGTGTGTGTGCGCGCAGCGTGCGTAAAGATTACTTTTCAGAAAACCGACCGCCTTGTTATTCTTCACACAAGGGGAAAGTTTTTGTTTTTTCCAACTGTGTTTCCCGCCGTAAACCTTTCGAAAAACTGCTGCCAGCTGCAACCCAGACTGCGTGCAACTACCCCCAAACCATCTTCGGGGAGGATGACTCTACGTTTCCATGAAGGTGGCGGCGGTGGACAAAGCTCGCAAACTTCCCAGGTTTTTTTCCCCCCTCCTCGTTCGTCCTCCCAAACCTCACGCTTTCACCGGAATCTCTTTTTTTTTTTATCTCTCCCACTTCCAGCAAAAACAATCGTCGGATGCTGGACGTCAAATCGGGAAATGGCTTACTGGCGCTGCTGGTTCCGAAACTGAGAAAACCTCGCCGTCTGCCGGAGGTGCCATATGGATCACTGCGTGTTACGAGCTCCCAGTTTGCTGCTTTCTTAAGCGGGGGGGAGTCTGGGGGAGAAGAACCCACAGCGGCAGCACAGTGCAGACCATTGGAAGGAGGGAGCATACCATTTACACGCAGAAAGGGGGGTGGATAGAAACTCTTTACAAGTTTATTTTATATCGTAATTTTCTACTGACTTTTTGCCTTATTTTTTTTTCTTCTTTTGCGTTAAACACACGGACCAAATGAACAAACACGTCATTTGATCCATCGATGATAATGTGACGTCACTGAGGCCCTCATTTACTGGTACTCATTAAGATACATCCTCATCCCTTTAACCATCATTGATGTTATGGGTCTCTAAAGCATAAAACCAATAAAGACAATGAAAAACACCAATTAGAATACACGACTTATAAGACGACAAGCTTATAATAAGAGCAAAGGAAAGATGACTTGGTATTATTTGAAAGGAACTCCTGGATTTGACCAATTTGGGTAGAAGGCAATTTTCCAGTGCTTTTCTGTAAATAACTCGCCCAAACAATAATGAGAAAAAGTGAAACATTTTATAACACCAAGGGTTCTACAACATTTTGTTATTTCGAAAAAAGAATGTGATTGTCTAATTATTTTAACTATTCAAATGGACTGTATTTTTCGCATTCCACCTTTTGAGGCATAAACCTTTGCCTCATTGCAATGAAAAGCTATGGATGTGTTCATGCATGGGTGATGGGGGGGGGGGGGGGTGCTCATCAATATGTCATATTTGGAAGACGTGGTGTAGATCCCAGTGTAACCCTAGCTTCGCCCCTACTTTCCCCCCTTCCTATTAGTACTGCCGGTCACTGTGACAATCATCTGAGTTATACCATGGAACCTGAAAATAAATTGATCCTCAATCTGAAGTCTGAAATCTGTTGATTATGAAACAATTGTAATCGCTCACACAACTGTACTCACAAAAGATATTATCTTTATTCGATAAGTATTCTAAAAAAAACAGTTTCTCTGCCTTTTTTTGCAATTTGAAGTAAGTAGAAACTTTTGTAAGAATTACAATTACAATTTAATATCAAGTGTGGGTTCCTTGTATCATTTAAGATGAATTCACAAATATAGTACGCTTGTTATACAAAAAAAAACGTATTTACTGATTTTTCATGCTGTTTGCAGGAGTAAAAAAGGCCTGTGACGTCATCGCGACAGAGACAACACACCCTAGACGCAACCAACACCCCCCACAGTCAACCAATAGCGTAACGGGATACACACATCCCGGCCAATCACAAGTCTCGACAGTAGCGAAGGTTTTTACCTAACCTGCAGCGTTTCAGCCTTCCTGTGCTGTCAAAATTCACTAGCCCTTGAGAAAAAAAAGAGAGTCGTCTTCGCAGTAATGACACAGTGGATGTACGTCGTATTTGCAACTTTCTCCATGTCACCCTGTTTCTTCATCTAGCGGAAGGTAAGAAATTATACAACGCTAATTTCCATAAAAGCTCGCCAACGTTAGGTTCCGGTGATGTGTCAGTGCAGCGTAGCTTAGCTTGTCTTTCGCTAGCTAGCGACCTTACGTTGAACTTAACCAGTGCTTCCGCTCACAGCCGGTGTCTTGGTAGCTCTCACATATGAAGTACATAGCTCGCTATGACGTAACCTGACGGCTAACGTTATCCGGTTTCGGCACCACTAGCTAACTTAATGCTAACTAACGTTAACTTAACGTTAGCACTTGTGTGAAGAGACGTTAGTTAGCCAGCAGTGCTGCACAGCCTGCTGGCGTCTTTGTAACAGATGTGGGAAATGCATTCTGAGACTACGTAACTAATTGGCTCGCAATGGCTTCAACGCCCCCGATTACACAGAAACATATGGCCTGACATGGATATCAAGAGGCTATTTGGCTAACTTAACGTTAGGTTAGCTGTTCCTAATCATGCTGTTTAGTCAACAATGATAACCCCCTTGGTCCCATAACCTAAACCATATGCAACGATTCAATTCAGCTTAATCTAATATGCACAGTGTTGTCAAATAGCTGTCTGGCAGAACCTGTCGGCTCAGCGTGTGTGTTTACTTGATCGGTCAAACTTTCTGTGACCTTTGAACTTTTAGATCTCCGCTCACTTCTCCACACTACACAGCTGGACTTGCAGTTTGCAAGTGCATGCAGGCCTTTGCTTCTCATTACTGACGCTTGTCACCTTTCTCTCCTCAGGTGCAACCTACAATTATGGAGTTTTAAAAAAAATTGTGCGAATTTTGGGGGGAAAGGTGGCCTTTCCCCTCAAGTTTGATGGTTGGACTGCTGGACAAGACAATCGGAGGGTTGTCAATCTTTGCCTTTCATAAATTATTAATAGAGTATTAGAAGAAGAAACTATTTTTGCTAACATTGAAATGTACACATTTGTATAAAAGAGTTTTTTGTATTTATTGAATTCATGGTGCCATCGTATGCGGCAAGCACTTTAGTTTGTGTTCAAATCTTGGTTGACATGGTGGATTGAAACAAGCCGCAGAGAGGCTCTGGGGATGCTAGGGTGCGGTGGAACCTTAACACAAGCACAATTCTAGCACTTCAAACCATCTCAACCTTTTTGTTGACGCATTTTTTTTCTTTTTTCTTTTATGTACCTTTTTCTCCTGGGAGAACAACACTGTTACATTAACCGCTATTGGTGTCAGTGATTTGGATTTGTTACATCGCATTGTTTTGTTTTTTTTTAAAGCTTTTTATTTGCGATATTGGGTGGTGGGCAATCAGAGGGATAATAAAGGGCGCACACAGAGTGTTTGGAGTAGGTCAGGATGAGTCTATCACTGCCAGACTGCACCCCCAAATGCCGCTCGCAGCAGCACGCGGACCAGGTGGTGGCGGCACTGACGGGCGGCTCTGAGGGGCGTCTGCGGGCGTTCTTGACCTCACACTGCCACAATGCGACGGCCTTGAGGGATGCCTTTGGTCGCACCGCCCTGCACCTGGCATCCTCGCTGGGCAAGAAGGCCCTGCTGGCTTGGCTGCTAGAGAGCAAGAACGCTGACCTGACGGTGAAGGATAAGGAGTCCGGCTGGACCGCGGTGCATCGCAGCGCTTTCTACGGACACATCCACTGTCTCATATCACTAGTCAAGGTATGTATTGAACCTGCATCTCCAAAAACCCAAGTCTTCCCTTTTCAATGGGGCCATTTGCAAAATTAGTCAATAATATTTCTCACTAAGTTTAAGAATGTGGACTTAACTTTGAATAACCTTTGCTTATTGACATTGTTTCAGCATGGAGGACTTCTCTCCACACAGGACAAGGAGGGTCTCTCTGTCCTGGACCTTACAATGAAGGACAGACCAACACATGTTGTGTTCAAAAACACCGGTAAGAAAAGCTGGATGGAAAAAATGTAAAGAGCTCAAAACTCTTTATTGTGGGACCTAAAACTTGTGTCCTTCATCAGGGAACACAACCATGCTCACACGTTTTTTGGTTGTTGTTATGTCGTTAGTGGTGAAACTGTGGATCCAATAATGTTTTTATCAGGTGTAACCAGGCTTCTCAACATCATTGTAACTCATTCTGTTTAATGATACATTTCACACAGGATTTAACTCTCCTTGTGCCATATAATGATTTCTACTCACACATCTAGTAGAAAATGATGTAGTACCTACTGTGAATAAGCAGAACATCCCTCTGTTTTTTTTTTAATCTATTTGACCCTTTTTACATCTATTTAAATGTGTCTTTTTGCGTTGCCGTTCTTTCAGTTTCTTAATGGCTTTCATGTCTTATGTAAAGCACTTTGATTTGCCTTGTTGTTGAAAGGTGCCATACAAAGATGCTTTTAATTGCAGAGAAGAGACCAGTGGTTCAGTTAAGCTTCAAGAGGCTTCATGTTGTGCTTGTGTATTTAATTGTGTTTTTCTTCCTCATTACAGACCCAACGGAAGTATACACATGGGGAAACAATACCAACTTCAGTCTGGGTCATGGTAATCAGGAGAGCCGGCAGCACCCTGAGCTTGTGGATGTGTTTGCCAGGACGGGGGTTTACATCAAGCAGGTAAGCTAACAACATGCTGTTATTGTGCCGCCTCTCCGTGGAGTGAAGAAAGTGTTTTCACTTGTATCACTCCAGTAATGGGCTCATGCTTCAACTCGGTGCCAACATGTGTTACACATGGGCACTCCAGATAAGACACACCACGTGGGTAAACCAGCAAAACACTCCCTCCCCAGAGTCTGATGTTACACAGCCTTCTCTTTAGAGGAAATCACCATTTGGTAAAAAAAAAGAAAGAATTAGTTACTGGGCAAGGTGAAAAACTTGCTTGAGTTTTAAATTGTATGTTTGATAACTAAATTAAGTTTGTTATGCAGCAAGAAAATTCAGAAAAAAACAAACTATTGATGTTTGACATGTTTTGAGTCAAATCCAGGGCAGAGTTGGTGTGGACTGATCGCTCTTCTCCTTTGTGACTTTGTAAAGCCGGTCCGTGCGTGGTTAAACCACGCTGCCACACTGTGCCAGCACGACTACAATTTCATGCATTTGTCCTGTGGAGCCTCTTTGTGTGATTAATATAGCTGCTGGCAGCAGCACAACTACCCCCAGTGGTGTGCGTGGCGCACACACCAGATGCTGGTTATCGGAGCTTAAGTATCGACTGTGTTACATGTGTTGTCGTTGTAATCCTTTCTTAAGACCTTTGTGTTTGTGGGGTCTGTTAAAACACGATTCACCTGGGCTTCATGTACCAGTATTTTTGGACAGGAGAAACCTTATATCTAAAGTTTTGTTTCTTTTTTTTTGTTTTTGCTGACATACAGGACTCAACATGCATAGTAATTTTATGAAGCCTTGTGGGGGACGGATAGATCTGATTTCATGACCACACAATGACCCAGTGCCACTGCGTTTAGTCTTTGTCTTCCTAGCCCGACCAAACAGGTGCCAGAGGTTAAATATTAATTCCACAATGACATGTTTTTAATTAAATGAACTACTCTGGTGTGTACGCATGTGAGTGAATGTCCACATCAATGTGATACTTTGGGAAACATCCCTGTGCCCTATTGAAAGCTTGAGGGGGGCAATGTATTAGTAATGATGTTTGCTTTTCCACTTCTGCCCCGGCCTTTATTGTCGTAGTGTTTTACTATCGCTACAAGAGGGCTTGGCCGAGGGACATGGAAAGAGATGAGTCACTGCCTCTGCTATGAGGTCCAAATTATTATGACAAGAAGCTTTTATCAGCACAAACTTCAGACAGTCCCCCCCCCCCCCCCCATAATAATAGAATTTGTTGTTTAAAAAAAAATCCTGATGGTAATAAACATGCGCTTGCTTAATATCCTTTTCTCCCTGTAGGTGGTCCTTTGCAAGTTCCACTCGGTGTTCCTGTCCCAGAAAGGCCAGGTCTTCACCTGTGGACATGGACTAGGAGGACGACTTGGCCATGGAGATGAACAGACTTATCTGGTGAAGCTCGTTATATCTACGTGTGGCAACCCTCTGCCTGTATTTGAAAATCTGTAAATGCGTCCATATGTTTTACAATTATACAGAAGCCTCTATGATCATTGCTTCCATTCGATTTAATGTCCTACTCATTGTGCATTTAGTTGACAAAATCTGGTGTTTTTGTACGATAATCATATCAGTTTTTGACCATAAGGGAGGATTTTTTTTAGGCTGTGTCTGCTAACAGTTCATAACTTTGAAGCCTATTTGTAAATATCCATCATTTCTACTTCGTCATGTGTCCAGCTGCTCCTTTTGTTTCACAACGGAAACGTTGAAAAAGTTTTTGCCTCAATTAGCCTGCAACTGAGAGTAACTTTTAATCGTACTCTTTAATCTTCTCCTCCTCGCTCCCCTCCACAGGTTCCCCGGGTGGTGAAGGGTCTCATGTCCCACCACTGCTCCCAGGTGGCGGCAGCTAAAGACCACACAGTGGTGCTGACGGAAGAAGGCTACGTTTACACTTTTGGCCTCAACACCTTCCACCAGCTCGGTTTGGTGCCGCCTCCTGCCTCTGCTCATGTCCCTAAACAGGTAAGCAGGCAGGGCGATGGAAACGGGGCCGATGACATTTTCGCAGTGCATTCCACGAGCGTTGTTTATGTGCCAAATGACATTTTGTTTGTTGTGGTGAATGAAGTAAACAAGGCTCAGAGGTTTCGTCAGTCTGCTCTCTGTTTTAGGTGTTTCTTCTTGAGCTGGATGTAGTACTTTCTGCATCCAACAACGTCAATTTTTATAAAACCGTTGTATGCTTTTGCTTCAATGTCACTGTGACATGCTGTGGACGCAGGTGTCCTCCAAGGCGCTGAAAGGCAGGACGGTGATCGGAGTTGCAGCAGGAAGGTTCCACACGGTGCTCTGGACCCGGGAGGCAGTCTACACAATGGGACTCAACGGAGGCCAGCTGGGTGAGTGTCAGCTAAAGCCAGCATTGTGAGAGCAAATGGCGCTGCTTCTCACACACTAAATGTGGCAGTACACCGCAGTATACCGCTTTCAAATTTCCTCACGGTATAAATTTTTCTCACACCAGAGCACAGCTGTAACAACTGTTGTCGCTCTTCGGCATGCGTTGTAAAATATAATGTTCAGCGGTAACCTCAGAGGGCGCAGCGGTCGGAGCTATTTAACTTTATAACAATTAATAACCCACAACTAGCACTTTAACGGGGTAAGACACCACAACACAACCGTTTGTGACATCCAAAAGCGCTGTATGTATGTTGCGTGCTCTCATCCAGGTTATTTGCTGGATCCTAACGGAGAGAAGTGCGTGACAGCCCCCCGGCAGGTGTCCGCTCTGCACCACAAGGATGTCACCATAGCGATGGCAGCAGCTAGTGATGGAGCAACGGTGGTCGTGACTGAGAAGGGCGATGTCTACCTCTTGGCTGAGTACCAGTGCAAGAAAATGGCTTCCAGGTGAACACGGGGAAACCTAATAAACACAAAATCGTCCTTTAAGATCCACCAAACTGCAAAGCACACTTACTTCTTTCATTCTGAGTCGGCTCTCATTTATCTCAATATCCAGCATCTCATTGCACAAGCAGCTCAAGACTTAAGAGAGGCAGATGTGGAGATGTAGTTTCTGTGAGCGCTATGTTCTTCAGTGCCCATGGATCTGATTGACATGTGCAGCCTTTTCAAGTCACCAGAAACACTTTCTGCTCTGCATCACCTCCTGTATTCTATTCAAACCAAATTTGAATCATCTAAACTGGGAGCTATTATGTTATCTTCTTCTTTGTTGGAACGTGTGGCTGAGTGCCTGGCTGTCTGTTAAAGAGCACTAACCCAACATTGGATCCCTTCAAAGGCAGATGTTAAAGATAGTCAATTGAACGTCTTCCATCAACAAATGTGGATCTTCATTAAATGCAAAAAGTATGACATATTTATCATTTCTTTTTTTTCTAATTTTACATTTTTCAGGCAGCTGAACGTGAAGAAGGTGCTGGTCAGCGGCGGGTGTCTGGACCACCGTGTGGTGCCACAGATCCTGAATGAGGGAGGAGGGGAAAAACTGTCCGTCTTGGCATTAGATGAAGCTGGGAGAGTACGTGCATTTAGTAGTACTACAGAAAATGCTTTTCATCCTGTTATTTAGCCATAATATGCAGGGAAGCATCCCTTGATACATGTGCCCAAATGTATCTCTAGTGATACAATACAACTTATATCTTACTTCTCTTGCTGTTTTTAGAGACTGGAGCAGAATGTGCAACTCCTCTTACTGTTATCTAACTATATCTGCATTGAAGACAGTTATACAATACCAAAGCAGGCTAGTCCATATGCAGCTCTATAGATAAAGATGGTGACTAAGACTTCTGTGTAACTTAATCTGAGGTAACTTCCATCCTTCTGTCAGGTGTTTTGCTGGCGGTCCTTTTCCAGCTCGGTGAGACAGTGCCGGTGGGCGTATGGGCGTCAGGTTTTCATGTCGGACATCGCTCTCAGCAAGAACGGCATGATGTTTGTGACTCAGGAGGGAGAGGGCTTCAGTGGCGTGTGGGCTGGAGAGTATAGGAAGTACGAGGAGAAGAAAGGTGAGGAATGTAGGTACATGCTGTATTGGTTGGTCAATTTTTCTCTCTATTTAAATAGTTTTCAACAGACATTAGATGTGTCAAGCTAATGCAGAAACTTTGATGAAAGAAATGAGTTACCCTCAAAACGTATTACGTTCATTTGTGATAAAAAGGCAGCAATAGTAGGTGTCCAACGGAAGGGACGAAGAACAATAAGTAAAAATATTATAGAACAAAATTGTTTATTTTAAATAAAATGTCCATTCTTGTTGTAACCTCAGAGCGCAGTGTGGAGGTTTGTGGACACACAGACGCCGGGACGATGTATGAGCGGATTCGCCTGGAGAAACTCCCCTATGTCCACAGAGCTGTCAGCATCACCATGGACTCTAAGGGCCGGAACTTTGGAGCGCTTCAGTCCGACCCCAAGACAAGGTAGGTTACCTGCCCCATGGCTTCGATAATGCTCCCCTGGATAGTTTGCTTATCTTCATAAATCTCTACATTTGTTTATTTTGCACTAAATAGTTGATGCTTGAAGAGCATATAGAGAATGGCTGAGTCATAAACAAAGTTTTAGTTTATGATTCATCAGCATTAAACGGCTGATGCGACTTTAAAAGCAGCGTCTCCCCAGGGACTCCATAGTGACTGACCAGAGTGTCTCGTTTGCACATTCAGCCAGTTGGGTATTGCATACTTTAGTGGGCAATTCGTGTTTTCTGGGGGTGTCTAATAGGCCTTATTTTTAGATCTCTGAAAGACTTCGCTGCTTATTGGATTTTCAGCATGGAAGCTTCTTGCAATCAGTTGTCAGAGATTATGTGTTGTTGTTTTTTTGTGTGTGTTTTAAATGTATGCGTATCACATTTCATTTTTCATCCTTTTGCCACAATGACGTCCGCCCTGTCTTCAATCCAGTTTGTACGAGATTCCCAGCATTTCTCCGTCCTCCTTCTCCCAACACTTTCGGAGGCTTCTGGATGAGGCGGACGAAACGGACAGCATCCACGATGTGACCCTGCAGGCCGGCAATCGCACCTTTCCCGCCCATAAGTACATCCTGTCCATGAGGTCCGAGTTCTTCCGCAAGCAGTTCATGTCCGAGCGTGGACTTGACGAGGAGCTCGACGGAGAAGTGAGGAAGAGCGAGGATGCTGTGGGCTGCGATTTAATCATTTTGGAGAAGATCCCACCAGACATGCTGGAATACGCACTGCACTTCATCTACACCGACTCCTGCGAGCTGCTGGTGCACGGGGCCCGGCCGAGAGTCTCAGGGGCCTCTACGGGACCGAATCAGGTGAGGAGAAGAAAAACAAAGTGTCATTCGCCGAAACTTGCCGGATTTAAATTTATACTATTGCTCGAGTATGTGCAGAATATCTGTATGGTCCTTGAAGAACTGAGCCGCTGACGCCGCTGCTCCCCTCTTTCTATCGACAAGAACTTTGAGCAGGAGAGGCTTATCAGCAGCCTGCAGGACCTGAGCCTGACAGGCCGCTCAGCCCTGGAGGTGTACCGCTCCCTGTCCCCCGCAACCACAGGTGGTGACAAGGCCAAGAGCAGGTGCGCCAAGCCTGGCAAGAAGGGGAAAGGAGGAAAAGGAGACAAGGCCGGCGTTAACGAGGGAGCGGCCAACCCGGTGAAAACATTGCAAGGGGTTGCGAAGCAGCTGGGCCTGGGAAGCCTGTCTGCACGGTGAGAGACGCAGAGTGTTGCTCTAATCCCCGGCGCAGGAACGCATGTGGTGTCATTGCTCCTCACTCATGCTTTCTCTTGTCCTTAACAGGCTGGATGGAGTGAAGTATGAAAGTGGAAAAATCTATGTCACAAAGAAGAAAACTGGAAACAAGCCCAAGTTCTACCAGAAGAAAGGGTGCGTTTATGAGTGTATGAATGATCCGTTGTTATAGACAAGGCAAATAATGAGGTTTACATAAAAACGCAGATTTTCTGATGTCTCCACCTGCTTGTCTGTGCAGCTCGTATCTTTGTGATGTTACACTGAAATCTGAAGATGGAAAAGAGTTTCCGTGTCACAAGAGTGTCCTCTGTGCACGACTAGGTAAGGTCACCCTGTCATCCTCCATCGAACCAACACTGTTCATTCATTTATTCATACTGATGGTGAAAGCACGTTTTTATTATTGCACAAACGTGTACAGTACCAGTCAAAAGTTTGGACCCACCTTCTCATTCAATAAAAATGGTGAGCTGGCTCCACCCTTTTACTGGTGCTGTGTGTCCTACATTAAGAAATGCCTCCTCATTAAACCTTCCCGTAAAGCTATGAAAGGGCTCTTCAGCTAATAGCCTCCCGTGTGTAAAGCCCACTTCAGATTTGATGTTGCTGTGTTTTGGACTTACAGAAAAGTTTTAACTCTTGTTTCAGAATACTTCAATAGTATGCTTGGGAACCCCTGGATTGAGGTATGCCATGTTTCACGAGTCACAATGCTTGCAGTTGTTTTGTGGAGGGAACCGTATCGGCAGGGGACCCAACTGTCTTGTCTTGTCCCCCCTCAGGCCACCTCCTGCTCTGCACTGGAGATGGCTACCAGCTCCGAGGTTCTGCACGCCATTCTAGAGTATGTTTACACGGATGAGTCCCACACCATTAAAGGTAACTTCTCCAGATTCATGTTGATCCAATAAATTATAAACTAATCATGACTTGTTTTGCCTAATTTGGACGCATTGTTGTCTCTTTTGCCCGACAGAGTGTTCCAATGTGGAGTTTGTCTGCAACGTGTTGGTTGTGGCCGACCAGCTGCTCATCCCGCGCCTGAAGGAGATGTGCGAGGTCGTCATCACGGAGAACCGTATGCTGTGTTTGTTTTTAATCTGGCCCACATCGCATCATTTACTTTGCCCAATAGCGCTTTCCTTTCATCTTGAAATAATACTGCATTTCTGTCATGAATTACAATTTGATGCCGTGAGACTTTAGTCTGCAGACTTTGGATCTTAGGGCGAAGATTGAGTTCATTCAGAGGCGCTTTGAGATCCAAATTAAGAAGCTAGAGCTTTGAAGAACGTTGTGCTCTTGTTACATTTAGGCAAAATGGTAATGTCAGAAAAGACGTCACAGTCACAAAGCACAGCAAACTAGATCGGTGTGCAAGGAAATATAGTTTCAAAAATGCATGGTGGGGGTTGGAAAGAGGCTCCTCGTGTTACCCTGTTTCTTGAGATATTGGATCAGTCAAGCATCAAGCTCTGCCCTTTTTTAAGTTACTTGACCACAAATTCCATTTGATTTGAGCACAATTTTATAAATTTCAATTAAGGCAACTATTTACAGACACAATTGCATCTTTGAGAAGATTTCCAGTCAATGACTCTGCTCGCTTTGCTCCTGTCAGTGACTCTGAAGAATGGTGCAGAGCTGCTGGAGTTTGCCAGCGTGTACAACGCAGAGCAGCTTAAGCTCTCCTGTCTCCAGTTCATAGTGGTCAACATGGCCGCCCTGCTGGAATCAAAGTAAGAATCACAAGAAATGACCTCAACTGGACTCGGAAATATCTTTTAAATGAGTTAAAAGCATTCTTTTGAAGAACAGTTTAAACCCAGTGCTGAAAAGTTTTCACTCTGACTTCTAAAGTATACATTGGTTGATCTCAAGAATTTAAAGAATTTGCAAGTAAAGTTGTGTACATTTTCACACACATTGTATTCAGCAGGACAAATCCGGAGAGAGCTAAACATATCTTCTTCCCTGGCTGTCGCTCTACTTTTTGTTTTTTGTCTTTCCAGAGCGCTGGATATTCTTAGTGAAGAAGTGCTCGGGGAGCTTTCTGCAGCCTACAGGAGGATGGTGAGTCACCTCGCAGCCACCTGTAAAGACATCCAAATCCGCATCATCCTTTCCGTTGCTTTGACGTTTGCTTATTGTTTGTCTTTTTAATTTGATTTTCAATGAAGAACTGGCAAAAAATGGCAATTCTGTAAAACGACCGCTTGGAAGTCATCGATCTGAATCATCCACTGCTTCAGTTTCCTTAGTGACGGCTCTCTAGACTTGTCATCTTGCTCAGACTTTTAAGAAAAGCTCACCCGCGGTAGTTGCTCCATTAAAATGTAGTCAGTTCTTTCTTGAAAAGAGGGGATTTGGAGAAAAATGTAATGTTATTGTGATTTTCTTTTTTCTTGTATGACTCTGCTGGATGCAGCTACCTCTGGTACCTTAAGATGTGTTTTCTATCTCATTGAAGATGCAATATGTGCTTTTTGTTATAAAATAAAGTCAAACGTATCATGACTGCAGCAAGTCCACCCTGGTTTTCACGTCTTACTGTGAATGTGTACAGGGTCGGGTTGTGACTGTTTTTCATTTTAGATCCCGGCCATGCAGAGGAGGGTTATCACTCCGTACCCCGACGCCCCAGACCTCAGTGTGTATGAGGATTTGAACTCGGCGTTCAGCCCCAAGTCAGACGAAGAACTGGATCACTCTTGCAGGTACAGAAACATAAATATATTTAGTATCCCAACGTGGACTGTCATTGGGTTTGTCTCGTGATTCAGCTGCCGTGTATACAGAATACACGATAGTCTGACGCTTCTCCAAGCGTGTGGGAGAACTACTAGGCCACCGTACTGGGGCCGTTGTTTGGTTTGCAAGGGGTGGCCTCCTTGAAGAGGACCTGCTCCCCAAGTAGACATGAAAGACTCGTACTAAGCCGAGGCTGTGACTACTGGAGCCTTTTAAGGGAAGCGGGAGCTTACCAGGCTATGAGCAAGTCCTTGCGGTCTCTTTAAACATCTGTAAGTTGGACTCCCACATAGATATCTGCTAATGGTTGTACCACATTATCTCCTCCCGCTCCAGGGAAATCCTGTTTAAGAGGGCCAAGATGAAGGCTAAAAAGAAACCACGGCGGCGCTCTGACAGCTCGGGTGGCTACACTCTCGCTGCTATCATTCAAAGTCCTCCTGCTACAGGTACGACTAAACAAAAGCTACTTTTAAAGAGCGTTAAGTAGCGGCGACGCTATGTACTTATTCGAGTAACGCCCTCTCTGTCCTCTCAGTGGTCTCCCCGTGCCTGGTGAAGTCTGGCAGAGCCAACTCGACAGAGTCTCTGCAGGATATGCTCACGTCTGACTCTGAGGGCAGCTACGTGGGGGCGGGCAGCCCCCGAGACATCCAATCACCGGTCCTCCTTGTCCGGGCCGAGGTTAACGTCCGACCACCGCAACAATTACATTTACAACATATGTTTTTATGCATTTCTTTGGGGGGAGGGTCTTATAGCTCTGCGCATGTTAAAGTACTTCTCTGCTTATGATGGTTTTACAGTCTGTGCATTATAATTAAACTTATAACAAACCCTTTTTTTTATTATAAAAGTCCCACTGTAGTTCCATTAGTGGTTGTTTTGATCCTCTTGGATAATTAAAGGAATGTAGCTACAATACATTAAGTGGTGTCTATTATACAGAAAAATATAACCGTGGATAAAATAGTTTTATCATCCGCAGGAAGAGAAGGTTTTCAGTCAAGGGCTAAAGACGGACTCCATGAGGGGGCCCCTCCCTGCACCCCCCAACTCCGCTCCACGAGCCGTCCCCAAGGTCCCGCCCTGGTGAGCTGGACTTCAAGATCTTAAATTTGATTTGAACCATCATGTTGGTTTTTCCTCCTCCTCAAGCTATAGACCAGCTGACAGCAGGAAGCGAACCCACGCGCTGATTTATTCGACCTCCACCCGTCAGCGCACGCTGCTATTTGAACCAGAGCAGCTTCCAGGAAACACACACATATTCTCAGTCTCTCAACATATGAGACACAATATTTTTCATGTGTCCCTGTGAAGAATTAGCATTTGAAATTCTGTGTATTATTGGTTAATGGCTCTGAGAGAAGAACAGTTCAATTCATCCAGTTAAAGTAGAAAACATTGTTTAGATATGTTAGAGATTAGTCAAGACCTTTGCCTCAAGAAAAACTGGACCTAGTTAAATTGAATATTATTGAATATTAATTGAACACTGCCAAGGAAAAGCCATGCTGACACGGCTCTTGTGTCCTGCCGCTTCATTCCGAGGAAGATGAAGTTTGGACAGAGAGAGGAAATGATAAATAAGTATAGATGTCTGATCTGCATCTTGTGGTAGTATGTGTGACTGTGTTATCACCATCTGCAGTGCTGCTCGTCCATCCCCTGTCCTGGATCTGAGGACCATCATGGACATGGAGGCCAGCTCTCTGCAGACCCTCGGAGCAACTCCTAAAAGCCCCGCAAGGTGCGAGTGGTGCGCTTTTTCTTTTTTTACAAACCAGACAGTGATAATAATCATTCCATGATTACTTGCAGTAAAAGTACAATTGAACTGTTGCTTTATTCACCAAATGTGGTGGAACGAGCTCTCTGACAGCAGGACCGCAGAGAGCCTTCACATCTTCCGCCGCAAACTAAAGACACACCTCTTCAGACTCTACCTCCTCTAAAACACTAACAAATTGTAGCACTTAAATTGTACCTATGCCGCTTTTCTATAGCGAATTGTAAATTGGCTTATTTGAGGAAATTGCACTTTCTTGTTTCTTGCTCTTGTTTCTTGCTCCGAGTTTGTACCCCTATGGTTGAATGCACTTATTGTAAGTCAAGTCGCTTTGGATAAAAGCGTCAGCTAAATGACATGTAATGATGCAATTGCCCAGTCTGAATGACGGTACTATTGGTTTCACCTCATTGCCTTCAGCTAACAGCAAATACGTCTTCCTCCTGCCTGCAGTGTCAGCACCGGCGTTAAGCACGCCCCTGTTCCCACGAAGCTGTCCCAGAAGCAGAGGAAGATGTTGGCCATGGCCAACAAAGAAGGCGTTGGGGAGTCCGTTGCATCCAAACCAACCCCTCCAGTCACCCCGCTGAAAAGCAGTGGGAAGGCCTGGTGAGCAAGCCCGAATATGAAGACCACTACTGTCCACTACACCACGACAGCCAGGAATAACTTTGGTTGCCGTTGACGAGTTCATAGTCGGGGGACAGATGGTTTTAAAGTATTTTTATAGGACTTGTGTTTGTACGTTTCAAATGACAGACACCTGCCGGCTCAACAAAGACCACACTGACCGCACAGCCACGAATAAGTTACTGACAACAGAAAGGTGTACACAAACAACAAACGCATCGGCATGCTTTGCATTAAATTCATCTGATCTGCAGCAGCCCGTCCCCAAGCCCCCCCCCCGTCCCTACAGCATGTTTTTCTTTAAAAACCAAAGCTTTGCAATTACAAGTTGTCTTGCTCGATTCTGTCTGCAGTCGTGGGTAGAAGACTCTCCACATCCATCCCGTAGCTCATGGCGCCCTCTGCTGGCCACAAGTGAATAGTATCCGTTGGCAGTAAATCACACGCCTGCTTCACGTTAAAAGCACCGCAAGGATTCAGTGCTTGACAAATTAGAATAAGTTACAAACACATCGCAATCTGGGTTCGTAAAGTGAAACGTCTTATTACAACCACTGAAGTGACCTTTAGCAAGGCCCTTGAAGCCCATCTGCGGCACGGGCCGGCAGATCAGACGGTTGTTGTACAGGACAACTTCCAGGTGATCAGGGCATTCCTGGAAAGAACAAAGACGGGTTGTTGTATTGTAACAATCGTTTTAAACTTGAATCATGAATCTGTGTGATTATATATATATATATATATATATATATATATATATATATATATATATACACACTATTTATCTGTGTCGTTTGTTTCCTCCAGGGCAACAGCAGTCCAGTCCCCAACCTCCTCCTGCTCATTTCGAGCGCTGCTGAAGGAGGAGGAGAACTGCATGATTATGGCGGCAAAAACCGGAGCTCAGAGGGGCCAAAGTGCTCCGGTGGCGCCTGTTTCCGCCACCTGTGCAACCAGGAAGGTCACGTTCAAATGCGCCGAGAGCAGCGAGCCAGAGCGACACACCGGGTGAGCATCTATGAAACACACACGCGCGCGCGCCCAGACACTGAAGTACAAATACTTCAAAAAAAGTTTGCTGTCAAAGTAATGTCGAGTCTTGAACTCTGTTGAGTCCTGCTGATTTCCACTTGGTGGCACTCTTGAGGTGTTTCATGAAACTGCAGCTTTCTGAGATATTTGATACAACTATAACAGTTATTAACAGTTGTTGCTCTCCAATACTCGTGATACTTAATCCAAGCCTTAATAAGAAAATGCATTCCAACTTATTTAAACATATTATTAGCATCCCAATCATTAGATGTAACTTTTTTTATCTTGTGTGTGTGTGTATGTGTGTGTGCACCTTCAAGATCTGAAACGGATCTGAAACGGACGATGTCTGACTTTAAGATTAAGAAATGAAAGAGGAAGTAACGATGTGTATTTGTCGAACACGGACTCTGAGGAGAAGGACAGTTGTGAGCTGTGAGCAGACCGCCTGACTGACAGGCACCTCTCTAGTTGAGTAACGCCCCACTCAGGTGAACAGCTCTTAGTGACCCGGTACCGCCGGGTCGACCTGCCCACCGACACAGAGTCATCCTGACCAATGCTCCATCGCCTTGACAGCCGGAGGAACACAATGCGCGCACACACACACACACACACACACGTCACATGTGGATCCAGTTGGGGTTTACATCCGTCTGTTAATTTGTTTCTAGTTTATTTACATACAACTGACCAAGAACGGACCACATTACCTTTTTTACCACTTTTATTTCTGATTTTGTGATATTTCTGATCTGGTTTTGATTGAAAGAGAAGGAAAAAATCTCCAGTCCTCTCACGTCTAAAAAGTAAATTTCCTCTGGCTTTCTCTTTAGTACGCGAGTCTCTTTAATCAGACGTCGTGCTTCCTCTCCTGTGTCTCTGCAGCGTGAAGCGTGGGTAATCTTTGGAGCAGACTTGTAGATATCAAAGCCGCTGATGCTAATCCGTGTTGATAAGGGCAGCACTCGTGTCACAACGGATCATACAGAACAGGGAGCAGGTTTTGGGTTCCTCTCAGTATTTGGATGAGCAGAGAGACGGACGAGTTCAAGGCTCGGGGAGCGGCAGCAATCTCGTATATTCTCGTATGTCTTCCTTCTTTTTCCATATCAAGTCAGAATTAATAGAGATGCCTTTCTTCTTTTTCTTTCTGATATCTTAATAATTCTTTCCAGAGGTCTCTGTTGTCCAGATCGACATTCTTTTCATATAGCTTTACCGTGCGTCATTTGACAGATAATGGGTTTATACACATTTATAACTTTATTAATGCAGCACATCAGCTATGAAATAAGAAACCAATCTAAGAGCACAAAAATCTCATGTCATATTTCACATGTCGTATTAAATAGATGTCCACCATCCCTTTTGGGAAAGGAAAATGCAAGATGGGTTGTCAACTAACGAAGTGGGAAATGATGATGATACCTGACACTTATATTAATATAATATTGTCCTTTTCAGTGCCAATAAAGTATATTAAATTGAATTGAATGCCTTTCAGCTTCGGCACATTTATTTATATGACCGCTATTCAAGGCAGCTTCAAGGTCCTCTACATATTTTCAACGTTAATGGGAAATAAAGATCTAATTCTAACGAAGAAGGCCTGCATCATTTTCCCACATCACTTTTCATTTTGGTACAGTTGTTTACTCCCAACCAAAGCCACGGCATGCATGGAGCTGGAAAAGCTTACGGTGGTTGAATTTGACTTCTGCCGACGGTGTAAGCGCCGTTTGTGTGCTAACGTTGCTCTGTGTCTGCTGGATGGGTCAACAGGTTGCGGCCGCCGAGTAAACAGGCAGCCGTTCACACACAGCAGAGGTGGTTGAACTAAGCTTTTGTCCGCAGCAGCAGGCACTGATGCCCATTCTCTCTCTCTCTCTCTCTCTCTCTCTCCCATCAGGCCCTGGGTGCTGGGAGCAGTGGGCAGCCCTCCCCTCTCCTCCCTGGTGACCTTTGCTTCCATTGTGGAGGAGGAGAAGGAGCAGGAAGCGGCGTTGATCCGCAGCCGGGAGAAGCCGCTGGCGCTCATCCAGGTACGGCGTCTTGTCTGTGCTCGTTAGCCGTCGTGCACTCATAAAACCCAGAGGCGGGGCTTCAGGGTGATGTGGCCGGCGGCAGAGTGCCTCTCCTTTTTCTATCCCGATCTGGCATGCGCGTATCTAATGAAGAACATGTTCCACACATTCCGAGCCTTTGGTTTGCTCCCTTTAAAGCCGTTCCTGCTCTTCCCCGGACGCCCCCAAGCTTCTGTCAGCGCCTTCTCAAAACACTTTCTCTCCCTCAGGCTTTCTGCTCGCCGTTACGTAAAACACCCTCATTACCCTTAAGCGTGCAGAGTCAGCGCTTTCTCCTTTACCCTCAAATGTCCTCTGGTTTCATCGCCCACATCTCCTTTTCATAGCTTGTTTTCTGTGCGTCCGTTTTAGATTGAAGAGCGAGCCATCCAAGACCTTTTGCTCCATTATAAAGCGCGAGACAACCCCGAGGAGCTGATCGTGGTGGAGAGGTCTTCCAGGGGTCCCATGGCAGCCCCAACCTGGAACAAACACTGATGTGCAACATGCAAACGCAAGAACGTCCTCTGCAGTCGTCCGTCCGGAGTTATTTCTTCAGCTTCCCAAAACATCACCACACCAGCGTGGGACTCAAACGTATGCTCGTCGCTGCAGTGTTGAAGCTTTTACTTTATTGCTGCTCCGCGTTTTTGTTTGTTTGTTTGTGTGTGTGTGTGAGTGAGTGAGAGAGAGAAAGAGAGAGAGAGAGAAACACACACGGAGAGATCGACAGGGTTTTTATTGATTGAATGTGGTACCTGGAAAATAATCTTTTGGCCTGGGATTACGCATGCAATGCTAGTCCTTTTCTTGCGGGGGTGATGGCTTTACTGGACAAAACCATGAGTCAAAAGTCCTCAACTTTTCCAAATGTATTTGAAGATAAAGTTGCCAAAGAAATGGAGGTGGGTCCAAACGGCATCACCTTGAGGGCTAGTGCGTGTTAAATCCGTGGAAGCTCGCGTCAAAGGTGTCAATAAGGAAAAGTGTGAATTATCAACTGTGGCAAAGCGTCGTTTGTAGTTGAGATTTAGAGTGAGCTGTTTTACCAAGGCAGCATGTTCACTTTCTATTCACGGTGGGTTTGTTCCCCCCTCAACGTTGATTGTTCTGGCTGATTCAGCTTTGCAGTGCCATGCTAATCCTGCTAGACTAAAATGTTCTTATTCAAAATCCATTATTTGATGCCGTCCTACTAAAGAAGATTGTCTAAAAACTGGCTTTCTAGTTCTCACCAGTGCGTTTTTGAGAAGTTTGTGTGCCTTCATCACATAAGGAATTCAGTTGCATCAGCATAAATACCCTTTATCTCCATTATTTGCTCTCTTCTGTTGCCATTTGTCTGTCTGAGACTTCACGTTGTGAAGAGAAAACGGCATGCAATAAAGTTCCTCAGCGGCAACGTCCCGGTCTTTTGTCTTTTCTTTTCTATTTAGATTGCAGCAAACAAAATGAAAGCGGGAGATGATTATTTCCTTGTCCTTTTTTAATGAAGCAGAAACTTGATCATTTACCGGAAAATGTGACTCTCACTGCGTCTAATAAAGACTCGATCTGCCCGTCTCCTGACGCTTTAGCTGCCCTGCATGAGCGAAGGACCATTATCGCCTCTCAGCCCGTGATTAACTGCGATGACCCTGATCTGCACGGCGAGTGTGGAGAGTTAGTGCCTTTATTGGCTGTAATCACAGGTAGAGCATCACATCGGGAGTCAGGGACAGAGCGCCCGCTTGGGGGAATATTATATGCACATTAGCACCTATTAGCGGGTGCAGAGATGACACATGAATTAAGAGCCGTAGAGGAAAGAGTGCTGCCGTAGATCACTGCGCAATGGGAAGAGCCTTTAAACCGGTGGAAGAGGACTGCTCATCCGGAGTGTGCTCTGAATAGAAATGTTTTTTTTTTTTTGCAGGTTGTAGAGTGCCACATTCATTTATTTTTAATTGCGCGGTAATTCACTTCTTAATCAACAGACAATTTAATAGAAAGAACTACCTAGGCAAACTTCTCCTTTGTGCTGGTGGACTACGAGATGCTGGCGGCACATGGGAAAGTCATCGGGAGGATAACTGCAGGAATCATTTTCTTTTAAAGGAAAAGGTATGTTTTAGACACGTGATGGAATAACGCCTACATTCCCTGCGTTCCCTTATGGGATCGTGCCGGTTAAAACTAAAAATGAGTGCGGTAATAGCTGACATTTACCAGCTGCAATGTCATCTGTTAGGGTCTTTTGGATATTAATGACTCATGAGCAGTTATCCAACTTATTTTACGCTCCGTACACAAGTTCTGTTTGATTTCTGATGATAGTTCATTTTAGGTAACTGCAAACAGTAGTTTTCTCCTACAAAGGTAGCAGTTTTGAGTTGAAGGTGTTACAGAGGAGCCATCAGGAGCCTAACGGGTCCTTTGTAACACAGAGTATTACACAACAGTTCATCCGTACTCTTTGTCTGTGTGAATGCTGAGCTGTGGCTCCGACAGGTGTAGAGGTTCTAACGAACCATTTCAATCCCAATCCATTTAGTGGACACGCCGCCAGTTAGCTCGGGATGAGCTGTCCTCTTCACAGCCGTCGCCCTGCTGGCAGCTTTAAAAAGACCATCAGCGCCCCAATAGCGGTTTTACTCCCAGAGTGTGACCCGAGCGTGAAGGCAGACGTTGGTTTCGTCTCGCTGTCAGTTTGACACCTCAACCCAAGACACGTGTCTCCCTCCAAACAGCGTGCGATTGGGACCGTGTCCACCTTTTGACGCAATGCGTGATGCAAAGGGATTTTGCAAAGGTTTTTTTTCCGTCATTGTGATTGTACATATGTTTCTTTTTCCAAACTTGAGCGCACATATTCAAACACAAACACGTATCCTCGTTATAATTAGTACTTCATGCAAAACATATTTGCACAGATGGTTGTTAGAGGTTCATGGAATGTTTATTTTTGCATGGCAGTGCAACACTAGGCCTGTTTACTGACGGCTCCAGTAGACCAGATGGTAGGAAGTCACTGAAGGGGTTGATTATTTTCATGAAAATAAATGATTGAACCACGTATTCGCCTCAGCAGCGCTAAATAACACTGATGGCACCACACCTACACACAACAAAGAGAGTGCTGTCTACGGTAAGAGATAGTAACGTGTTCATCGGCCAATAAGTCATCAACTTTCCAGTGACTTTCAATTTTGATCAGCTCACCAATAAACATGTCCATTATGTTGGTTGTTTGATACGTTGAAAAACAATGTTGTTGTTTGGGACTTTTGCTTTTACAAACCATAGTTGCAGACAACCATGTGTTTGAACCAGACTTCAAATAGTTCCTCTGCCTGCTCAAGAAATAGTCCCACGCGTTAGTCCCCGTGAAATACGACCTGTCATTCGGAGGAAGGTGCAGCTCCAGACATAATCTCTCTCACTTGATCAGACGGTACCAGTCGAAAGTTTAGACGCACTTTGTCATTGAATTGAATGAGAAAATATGGCCGCGGATATCAAAAGAGGAGGAGGTCGGTGTGTGATGGCCAATGGCCGACTGCCGATAGTGACTACAGATCGAACAGAACCAGGGTGAAGCCACTGAGCGTGAGTTAGCCATCAACAGCACATTCAGTACCAAGATGTGTGTGTGTGTGTGTGTGTGTGTGAGACATCTATTAGTCTCTCAAGTGCTTGGGAGTGTTTTGGGCCTTTGGCTCCTTTTCTAGCCTCGGAGCTGCCAGCAGTGACATCTCAAAGACCTGTAATGGGGCAGATTAGAAGAAATGGGGCCCTCTATCTCCCTGTGAAGCTGGAACCACCTCTGTAAGATTCAGCATCAATCAGGATGGTTTGAAGCAGAGCTCAACACACAATCACCTGATTTTCAGCTCAGAGCTGAAATGAGGGGATTCTCTGTAGGGAAGTGATGGCCTCTGCTTCTTGTCTCCACAGACCAGGTTCAATCCCTGCGTCACTACTCCTTGATGGCGGAGCGATTCTCAAGGTTTTTTTTTTTTTTTTTTTGTCACTGCAGGGTCAGAGGCAGTTTGACTGAAAGGGAATGGAAATCCCATTTCATCCCCGGTACCTTTTGATCCACGACCAAAAACTAACTCCGCTGTCGGCGGTGGGAATTCCTCTCTGACGGACCACTAATGAGCCCCTGCTGGAAACCCAGTTGTCTGCGGAACGTGGGTGAGGCGACCCTGAGGGGGCGGCAAAGACTGGACCGTTTGTTGTCCATTCAAGTGCGTCGCTCGCGTTTTCCCAAGCGACCGTGGCGGAGGAGCATCTTGCCCACACGTGCGACCTCTGTCACGCTGCGCAGCTTCAGTCAAGTGTTTCAGATCCAATGTGACACCCTGTTATTCCATCGTCTGTCTCTCGGCCACACCAGCAGCTGGAAAAGGATTCCCCTTCTCTTGACAGTGTTAAAACCTAATGTCTGATGTTTGACTCCCATCACAAGTCACCTCGCAGGCGTTTGTCTCATCCTGCATCGCTGCTCATCTCTTCTCCATCTTGACACATCTAACAACCTCTGTTCTCCCCTCCTCCTCCTCCTCCTCTGCTGATTGAGAGGTTTATATAATAAAGTTCCACTGCACCCTGCATCCTCAAAGCCAAAAGGTATTCATTACAATTTATATCCTAAAAATGGTTGTAATTGGAAAATATGCACAAATCCAAAGTCCTCCGCTGGTGATGTTTTTAACAGGCTTGCCTTAAAGCAGGTCCATTATGGAAGATCATCCGTTTTCCAGCAAATGTTGCCAGAATTTAAACAATGTTATTCCTGCGAAGAAGGAAACGGTACTTCAATATCCATAAAAGAAACATGTGCAGCAGAGAAAACTCTGGTTTATGATCTACATAGTTATACCAATAAGTCGAAACATACAACAGAACAATTCCATTCAGAAATACTTAAACAAATGATTAAAACTCTTTCATAATGTCCCTTTGCATAACAGTGCAGTTGTTATTGACCATCCTCCCAGCATGCTTAACCACCCAATTGGCCAGCTAGTCTCAAGATTTTTTTTGTCTTGCTTTGCACAAAGTTGTGCGTGTGTGTGGCAAACGACTCGAGAATGAATTGACGGCTGTGGTTGCTCTCAATGAGCCAGTTGGCGGCCGCTGCTCTGCACTTGAATCCTGAGTACAAGCAGACCAGCCTCACCCGTCGTAGTCGCTCTAGCTGACAGGCGCTAACGTCAACTGCTGCAACTTTGTTTTCAGTCGGAGACTAAATTAAAAGTGAACAACTCATAACAAGAAATGCTTTGGTTTCAATAGTTTCATACTGTTTAAGCACACATTAAGCCTTTGACTTATACAGGTATTGTGCAGCGGCCGATCTCTCCCCCCTAAAAACACATTCATGTCGCTGCATAGAGAGAAACTGAAGGACGAAACTCAGTTTGCTGGGATGCACTTCAAGGTAAATAAGTCCAACTCATGCATTCGTTGGATCACAATACAGTCTCTCTATTTTTCCTGGACTAGAATGTCCAAAAAAACGTTTCAAAAAGGTTTCAAAGACCACAGAGACCAACACTCGATTAAAGATGACTGTTTTTGAAATGTATTTTATTCTAGTATTTCAAGAGGTATTCTTTCTTAAATCTTCAACTAATCTTCTGACAATCTGATCTAATTGCTGTCTTTCAATCACCACCAAACTGATCCGCTCCACAGTGAGTAATGAGGTGCCAGGTAGTATTTACACTCATTGGCAGGCTTCTTCTTGGGGCCCTTGTGTTATGCATAAACCTTCTGCTGCACTGTGACAGTCGCTTTGATTTAGCTTTTCAGCGTGCACGGCGAACCATCGATCCCCACCTGTGGAACGAATCGACGGGGGCCGCTCTGGCTCCGTTCAAGCCGACTAATAGTTCCATGTACATTTCCAGATGTGGCATTACGTTTCAGAGACCTGGGATCGACCCGTCTTGACACGTGCCAAAGCAAAGTGACATTTTAAAAATGAACAGTAGCTCCGTACTTCAAAGCTACTCCAACATGTAGGAGAAGAAAGAAAAAAAAAAGGCTCAGCTCTCAAATTGTAATTCTGGTAGCAGTTTATTTTACTACTGTGTTCCCGTCAAAAGCTGCACAATCGAAGACAGTTGAATAAAACTGCACGTGTGTGCTCCTCTCCTACAGAGGACGGGAAAAGGAGCCGAGACAGAGCTCCTGTCCGGCCCTCGGAGTTAAGTCTGCAACAGAATAAATGGGATAATCAGGGTTTACAGATTTGTGTGGCCCGGTGACGTGGGGGCTTTATGCGGCCTAATGGAGAACCAGTGACAGCTACCAGTCCCTGCAACCCCCCCGTTCACGGGACTCATCACCGCATTCTGTTTAAAAGGGATGTCACGGAGTTAAGCGTCGAAGACCCTTGGAGACACATCAGGCATCTGGATGTGTGTTATAAGGGGCAGTTAACAGGTGCTTTAGCAGTTCAGACGGGTGTTTGTCTGCGTCGGGTCGGAGAGCCCGCGGACCCTGAGCCAGGGGGGGTTGTGGTCTGGGGCCAAAGGTTTACGGGATTAGATCATTCCGTATCCTCCTTAACTTATTTATATGGGGCACGTTTAATGTATTTCACAGCACCCGGTGCAGTTTTAAAGTTAAAGTTACTTTATGTCAAAACCTAAACCAGCCCACAGAGGGCGACGTGGCGACACCAGGTCAACTTTACATGCACATCAGCAACAGTTGAATCTTGCCAAGATTTACAGAAACGTAAACATTTGTATTTATTTGCTTTACTTTTTATTTTATTTTTAGAAAGAGACAACGTAGTTTCATAGAAGGTTGATGACACGCGACTCAATGAATAGAGGCGCACCCATTATCATTTTGAGCACAACGCACTCAATGACAGTAATGTAATCTTTTTATATGAAAACGAGGACTCCAAGGACTTGGAAGGGAAATCAGCATCAGAATAGGCTCAGAATGGTCTGTCGTGTGATGGCGTTGAGCGGGCAGTGACTGACTGTCGGGGGGGGGGGGGGGGGGGGGGGAGATACGAGAGGGAGGAAGGGAGGGAGGGGTGTAGCACAGCTGACATCCAGGCTACAGAGCGGACTGTTGCAGAAGGGCGCAGAATGTCAGGCGGGCAGGTAACAGTTAACTTCGCCACAAGTGAGGAAAATATGTCGAACTAAAGAGTTTGGGGGAGAGAGAGCGGATTTCCACAGTAAATTCACACCGCATCAACGGGATTATCGCTTGGCAACAAGAAGAGAAGAGAACATTTGAAAAAAAAGCATGTAGGAGCCGTGCGTAAAGATTCCTGAGAGGGGTTGATCATCGCAGGGAGGATTGCGCCAAAGTGCGACTTGAGGACCAGCTTCTTCATGCAAATTCATGGAATCATAGGCGTGCCTTTGAGCGATGGAGTCACAGCCGGGAAAGCAAACCCCCTCCTGGATCACCAGCGACCTTCAAAGACTGTGATGCGCAGCGCTCCGACTCATTAACCGTGAACCGGGGCACATGTTTTAAAAGCACCGAGGAGGAGAAGAGAAAGTTAGCTCTCATTTTCCACGCGCTTCTTGACCAGCCGCACCTCTTCTTCGACACAACAGCTCCAAGCGGACTGGATCTCCAACCACAGGCTCGTTGCTGTCACTATTTCACTCGGGTCTTTAGTATTTCCTGTCTCTATTTCTATATGTTCACATTCAATTTGGACGACTTCAGACAGTCAGAGCCCTGATGCGCAGGACGCTCCGCTCGCATAGAACTTGTGCGTAAAGACGCAGATCACAGATTTGTTTTTTCTTTCATACAATCTAAATCACCGAGGACTTTTCACAATGTCAGAGGAGGACACCAGCTCCACCGCCAGCTCAGAAGGCAGCAACGTCAGCGTCCTCCACTGGGAGCAAGTGCAGCGGCTGGACGCCATCCTGACGGAGACCATCCCGATCCACGGCCGAGGGAACTTCCCCACGTTGCAGATGCAGCCGCGGCAGATCGTGAAAGTGGTGCGCAGGCGGATGGAGGAGAGACAGATCCACGTCCGGGACGTTCGGCTCAACGGCTCAGCAGCCAGCCACATTCTGCATGGAGACAGCGGACTGGGCTACAAGGACCTCGACCTCATATTTTGCGCCGATATGAAAGGGGAGAGTGATTTCCAGATTGTGAAGGACATCGTTTTGGACTGTCTCCTGGATTTCTTACCCGACTGTGTGAACAAAGAGAAAATAAGCCCGTTAACGTTAAAGGTACAGTCACTCTGACATCTCTTTACCTCCAGATATGTGATAAGAACTAATTACATTTGTGCCGATTCGTCTTAACGACCATTACGCGCAGCTTAATGTGCAATTAGATTAGTTTAGTGATAGTAAAATGTTGGTTTTACGTAGTTAAGAGGATTGAGTTAAACCAATTTGGAAGGGATCCTGAGCTCAGCTACTTAGATCCCCTATCCAAGTACATTCTAGGTTCTTTACTATTTGGGTCAATAGCCTTTATAACACAAAGTCTATGGCCAGAGACATGCAGCTATTACTTATATGTAAATACAATGGCTTATTAAATATAAAACGCAGCTCCGGAATGCCAAACGTTGCTATGGCTGAGCTCTGATATTTGGACTAATCTACTCCAAAATTGTTAATATTTCTGCTCTTCCTCTCCCCCCCTCGCACACATAGGAAGCCTATGTGCAGAAGATGGTGAAGGTGTGTAATGACTCAGACCGCTGGAGTCTCATCTCCCTCTCCAACAACCGCGGAAAGAACGTGGAACTGAAGTTTGTGGACTCCCTCCGGCGGCAGTTTGAGTTCAGCGTGGACTCCTTTCAGATCCGGCTGGACTCCCTGCTGCTGTTCTACGAGTGCTCAGAGAACCCGATGGCCGAGACCTTCCACCCCACCATCATGGGCGAGAGCGTGTACGGGGACTTCGGCGAGGCCCTGCACCACCTCCGTCACAAGTTCATCTGCACCCGAAACCCCGAGGAGATCCGGGGCGGGGGTCTGCTGAAGTACTGTCACCTGCTGGTGAGGGGCTTCCGGGCCGCCTCCGAGTCCGAGATGAAGTCCCTGCAGCGCTACATGTGCTCGCGCTTCTTCATCGACTTCTCTGACATCGGCGAGCAGCAGCGCAAGCTGGAGTCCTACCTTCAGAACCACTTTGTCGGCCTTGAAGACCGCAAGTACGACTACCTGATGACCCTGCACGGAGTGGTCAACGAGAGCACGGTGTGCCTGATGGGACACGAGAGGCGGCAGACGCTGGGCCTCATAGCCATGCTGGCAGTGCGCGTCCTCGCCGAGCAGAACGTCATCCCCAACGTGGCGAACGTCACGTGTTACTACCAACCCGCCCCTTATGTGGCAGACGGCAACTTCAGCAACTACTACATAGCGCAGGTTCAGCCGGTGTTCGCCTGCCAGCAGCACGCGTACTCCACCTGGCTGCCCTGCAACTGAGTGAGCCCGGAGGGACGGGGCAGGAAACAGAAGCTGGTTTGTTTAAACGAGAGCGAGCGGCGTGGTTGCCTCCTCAAACCTGCCCAGAGTCCTCTTTTTAGTGTTTCGCCTCAAAGGCCGCGTTTGACTTTCACTTCGAGTACATATTTCAATGTGAATGACTCACATTTCTCGAAGAAAAAAAAAGGCCTACTGATTCTAGCCAGGCCCACCGGGTTTGGAAAAAACTAATTTGTGGTAGCTTGGAAATAAAAGGCTCGACGCGAAAATGCGCTTTGGCCTCGAACGCGAGCAGCAGAACTGTCAGCGAAACTGGTCGAGACAGATCGAAGTCCGTCTAAAAGTGACCAGCCAGCATGTTGCAACAGACCAATCACCTGCATCAGTGCCCTGAAGTCGAACCAAACACACACACACACACACACACACACACACACACACACACACACACACACATATGGTGAAATCAGAGGTGTGAGCATTAGGGCTCCAAAACAAGCAATCGGCTTAACTGAGGTGGGGATGCTGTTAAAGTAGTTTGAATCTGCAAACTGGCATCTTTGCCTCACGTTCGCTTATCATTATGTTTGTTTACAGACCAAAGACTTTAGTTTCAATCGTTCTCTAACATTAAAACTCTATTTTGAGGGGGGTGGGTGGGGGATAAACAGAAAAACGAACCTGTGCGTCTTTGTACATGCGAACATGTGCGTTTGTATCAAGTGCCTATAAGAGAATGAGCAGGCCAAATGATTATGTCTTTTTGTGAATTTGCCCCCCTGTGTTTATGGCCACTCTCAGCAGTAGACAATAGCACCCAAAAGGCTTGTGAATGTACATGTGAAATCATGCTGTCAGTGTTTTTTTTTTTTTTTTTTAAATGCTTGGATGACAAAAGTAGCACCCGTGTTACTGAGGATCTTGCAGTTAAGCAGCAATGAAATGTGAACGCCACTCTCGAGAGCAAGAACCCAGACATGCTGCAATTTAAAGCAGGTATTGCCTAATGTGGGACGTGAAAGGGTGAAAAACCCTTTCAGATCATCAGTGACCGTTCACTTGCACAGAGAGACAGACTGGGAGAGAGAGAGAGAGAGAGAGAGAGAGCTGGTGTCTGTTCCCTCTGCTTGCTGTTACAAGAAGAAAGGTATTTGCAGAGACACCTTAGGTGATGACACAATGTTTGCTGTAGCACCCCGACAGGGAATTCCTCAGCTGCTGCTGAAGAGCTTGAACTTAGCTGGGGGGGTCGTGTCCGCAGACGCTCGCTTCAGGCTTTTTTTTTTAAGAAGAATGTCGTGCCAAATATGTGGTTGCTCCCCGCTCATAGCCCGCTGGTTTGATGGGGTGATGCTGTGTTCATGCAGAAGACGGGGAGACAGACAGCCGGAGGGGGGGGGCGGGACGTGGTGGGGGACGTGGTGGGGGACGTGGTGGGGGAAAGGCAGCGGGGGAGAAGGAGTCGGTCTGGAGGGATGGGGGCAGCTGGTGATGGGGTTCATCTCCAGGGTCACCACGCTGCGCTGTAAAAAAAAAAAAACTACGACCAAACGGAACGGGCTGTCGGTCAGGTGACCAAAACATTCCGTTGTCAGCATTTGCCTTCGGTTTTAATCATGCGATTGTTGTTTGAAGAAAAAAAAAAAAAAGAAGAAGAAAAAAAAAAAGAGTGCATGTATTCTCACGCAGCTACACGACTGACTGAGTTGCAACCTGTGTTTCATTTTAATGATGCTCATTCATGTTTTTGTTTTTAATCCATACAATTAACTGTTAAAGAAAGGTGTCTATAAACGATTACTCGCTTCAGCTTCGCCAACTCACTTACTCATGCAATCTATACAGCAGCCTTCCCAGAAGAGGGGGGGAAAATAAAGCAAAGGTCAAGCATAGAAAGACCAGCGTTTACTCAGCACTGCGTTGAACAGGCCGAGGATGTTCATTTGTTACCTCCACACCGGTGCATCGTGCAGGCGGCGTGTTGTCTTTTTACCCTCAGTGAAGTCCAAGCGGCGGATTCGCTCGTCAGCTCCAGTCCGCCTGTCAGTTAGTGATTGCGTTGTCTCGTGCGCGTCGTCTCTGATCATGCAGTCTTTTATGAGTCAAGAAAAAGATCCTTGTCTGTATGTATATTTTTTATGATTGTTATTTTTTCATAACTGTGCCACTGCGGGTGTTGCAGTGCTTTTGAATCTGTGATCGGGCTTCAGACGATATGTTCTCAATAGCTTTTTTTGCTATTTTCATGTTACGTGTCCGATGGGTCAAAAAGGTTACGGATGTTTTCATCAATAAAATATCTGAAAACCAGATTTTTTTTTTTCCCGTCTCTCGTTATTCATTTGTTGGACTGCATTTGGGGAGGGGGGGAGAGAAAACCACTGCCACACACAAAAAGATGCTTATTAGCCGATAATCTCATTGGCAGCGAGAGCGAAGGCTTTTCCCTGACGTTAGCCATTCAGAGGCTCACTCACATCCCTGCCCGGCGCAAAACGCCCAGCCCCCCAAAACCCGTCCAGAACCGGCCCCGCTGCTGCCAGAAAGAGCTGCTGTTGAATGCGAGGGGGGGGATTTGCATCCACCCATATAAAGAGACTTCCACGCTTTGTTGAGTGAATGTCTTTGCACGCTCATCAAATTCTCTCTGCTGGCGCACCGGCCCCCCGAGCTCTGATAGCTATGCAGAGACCATGTCCCGCCTGTCCCATGGTCATCAGTGTGAAAGAAAACTACCACAACAGAGCCGACTGCCCCACAGGTCCCGTGACGAACTGTCCTAGATACAGAGGGAATGAGTCAGAGGTGCATGACAAAGGGCCATATATAGCAGACGTGATTAGGACATTATCGCTTTCACTTAAGCGCATTTACAGCTCATTAATCTGAGCCATTGATTGACATGTCGAGCCGCCTACCGAAATGTAAAGTTGTGCATGTATTGATTTGTTGGGCTACCGTCAGAATGTGTTTTGTACACAACTCTACATTTGGGTGCACGGCTGTATGTGCATTCATGTTCAGCCATGGTCACTTCATGGAGCCTCAATCGATGTCCATATGGACGTCCAAAGTCTTTATAGTTGCTGCAATTGTGCCTCCTTTCCATACTGGACATTAAAAGATCCGAATAGGATTCCAGTGAACAACGGTCCACTCTGAAGGTAACGTGGGGTTTCAACAGGCCACCCCCCAAAGTCAGTCAATGTCAGACTCAATTCCTACTATTTTATTATGAATATGGCCATGCTGGTAATGTTTTAGGCTTGAAAAAAAAAGCTCCATCAATAGGATCACACTTTTAAAAACTTTTTTTACCCACTCACCCACAGGGGCGACTGTTATTCCATCCTGCATGTCGATGTGTCCTTGGGCGAGACACTTAAGGCTCTGTGTGTGGTTCTCCTGTCATCACTGTGTGAACGGGTGAATGATGTCATGTAGTGTTAAAGCGCTTTGAGTGGTCGAGACTAGAAAAGCGCTACAGTCCATTTACCATTTAAGCCTAAAACAATACTAACATGCCCATATTTATATAAAAAGAGGACTAACCATGAACACTTTCCATGTACACATGGGCAGTTTAGAGCGTCCAATCCACCTAAACTGTGGCGCATGTCTCTGGACTGTGGGAGGAAGCCGGGGGACCCGGAGAGGACATGCAGCCTCTCAGAGAGGCCGCTGGGCGGAATCGAACACAAGACTTTCTTGCTGTGAGGCGACAGCGATAACCACAACACGGCCGCGCCGACCGCCTCTGTGATCTCTTAATTTGTATTTAATGACTAGTCTACTTCCGTAATTCTTATCTTCCATGTAGCAGCAATATGAGCGCATTAGTATCACATAGCATAACTTCCAGCCATCTGAGGCAGCACCTTTATTGCTCGTGTTCATTGCCTCAGGGCCGGGGGGGTACAGGGGGGGGGAACAAATTTATGTTGCGAGTGTGACAGAGTTATTCTTCTTTTTGTGTGTGCTTCTGTTTTTCTGTGTTCTTTCTTAAAAAAACATTCTGGTATGGGAGTATTATATCATTATATGGGATATAAGGAGAACAAATGGTCTGCTTATAATTTGCAGGATTCTACCTCATCATAGTAAATATAACAATTACATTGACCTTAATGAATAAGTTATTTAGCAAACAATTGACTCAGGCACATAAGTGGCACAGCCCCACGTGGCAGAATGAGTGCGATTGGGGACCATGGGACTGTATTTGCTACTGGAATACTGTACTGGACACACCGAATCAAGGACAGACGTCGGCATTTGCCAGTATGGGTGACGATGAGCAGGACGTTCTTATCTCATGGTGATATACGTCATACCCGTCCTCTTCACCTGCCGCCAGCTGGAGCGTCTTTGCTTGCGCCTTGCTGAGACAGTCGCAGTCTCCATTCCATGGGTGATTTTACATCCCATTTGAAACGTCCCTCTTAATTCAGAATTTTAAGTTGAGAGGATAAGTCGTGAAAGGCCAGCTGGCAGAGGGGTGTCAGATAGCCGAGGCTGACCACACAGGGGAATCCTCTCCTGCACGAGCCCGTGAACGTCCTTATAATAACGTGTTTACCTTTTGAGTAAAAGCTGAGACCCTTGTCACTCGTCCTCCGGCTCCCCGTCTCTCCTGCTCCTCCAGGGGCTTAGCAGCTTCGTAACGGCTCTCAGGCTGCAGGCGTCAGGATTCCAGATGCTCCCCCCGCTGCATTACTGCGAACCATTTTTTCCAGAACAGAATAAGCAGGAAATATTTAGAGCGGGGGGGGCGTGCTGGTTCAGAGCCCAACAATGACCGCAGCTAAGCTAATGTACCGAGTTTATTTACAATGTGGCCTGGTCTGAGTAATAAGAACTGTTCATTATTACATTTGTTTACTTGTTCAAGGAGTGTGTCATAACAGATGAGATGGCGAGAGATTAGAACGCAAACACACGCGCGTGCACGCGCATCAGGACGCGTTGTTGTCAACAAATTCCAAAGGGGTGAAACAGCAAGAGGACATTCATCATACATGTTAACAGCCGTGAGCGCGATAAAGAGAAAGAGAAAAGTCAGCTGCAGGGCCCAGACGGTGCTGTTCATAAACCTCGGACACATTCAACTCCCTCAGCTGAGCAGATCCACCTCAGGCTCTGCAGGCCCTGCAAGGCTCATATCTGTCTGACAGGATGTTGGCTGTGCATTGGCAATAAGGTTGTATACGCCATACAAAACCTCACACGAGGGTGCAGACGTACTTTGTAATCAGTGCAATTATTTTTAAATGAATTGCGATATCATTTATCGCTGCAGCAGCAGTAGCGATCAGCTATAGGCCGCAATTAAAAGAAGCTCAGTTTGTGCTAAACAATTTCATAAAAGAATGTGAGTTCACAGCATATGGTTGCAAAACAATCCCGGCGCCAGATTTGGAGCGAAGTGGAAAGTGTTTGTTGCAAACGCCGTGTCAAACAGATTATAACAGAAGACTTCTGTATCGCCTTGACCTGTTGGTGACCACGTACAGGAAACCAGACACGGGAAGGGACACGCAGACCTGGAGGTGCACAGCAGGTGTCGGTGGGGGCGAGGCGAGACCCGATTGCTGTTGTTCCTGATGTTTGGGATTGATGGACTCCTGCAAAAGAGCACCTCAGCTTACAGCTTTATCAATGAGGAGGTGCAGAGCTGAAACGACGGCTGAATGGAGTCCAGTTATTCATGGTTCCTGGACGAGGCTACTGGTTGGGTCAGTGATTAAAGAGGCATTTGTGTAGATTGAGAGAGAGAGAGAGAGAGAGAGAGAGAGAGAGAGAGAGAGAGAGAGAGAGAGAGAGAGAAGCTGAGGCAATGCAGGGAGAGAAACATGATCCTCCTCTTCTCAGAGATTAGTGTCACTGAGGTTA